TTTACTGAAATCCAAATACACCACATCAACCGCTTTACCCTCATCCATTAGTGAAGAGCCATTGATTAAAACCAGCCTATACTCACTCCATCATAAGAAGAGTGATAGATGATCTCATTGAAAGATACAAAATTCTGAGAAGGCTTGACAGATTGGGTGCCAAACAGCTATTTCCCCAGATTAAGTCTAGAACTAGTGAACACCATTTCAGGTTAAATGGTCAACCATTTAGAACTGAGATGCAGAGAAATTTCTGCACTCAGAACATTATAAATCTTTGAATTTCTTGACTCCAGAGGGCTGTCACTGCTCAGTTGAGTAGACTTAAAACTAAGACTGACAGATTTTTAGGCATCAAGGTGCAGAGCTGGATGAACACAGCAGGCCGAGCAGAAAGGCTGACGTTTCGGGCCTAGACCCTTCATCAGAAATGGGGGAGGGGAAGAGGGTTCTGAAATAAATAGGGAGAGAGGAGGAGGCGGATAGAAGATGGATAGAGAAGAGGATAGGTGGAGAGGAAACAGACAGGTCGAAGAGGCGGGGATGGAGCCAGTAAAGGTGAGTGTAGGTGGGGAGTTAGGGAGGGGATAGGTCAGTCCAGGGAGGACGGACAGGTCAAGGAGGCTGGATGAGGTTAGTGGGTAGGAGATGGGGGTGCGGCTTGAGGTGGGAGGAGGGGATAGGTGGGAGGAAGAACAGGTTAGGGAGGTGGGGACGAGCTGGACTGGTTTTGGGATGTGGTAGGGGGAAGGGAGATTTTGAAGCTTGTGAAATCCGCATTGATACCATTGGGCTGCAGGGTTCCCAAGCGGAATATGAGTTGCTGTTCCTTCAACGTTTGGGTGGCATTGTTGTGGCACTGCAGGAGGCCCAGGATAATGGTTATGAATGATTTGGGAATTAGATGAGAAACTGGTGTTTGAAGGTCAACCATGATCCTACTGAGAAGCAGAGTAGATGTGACAGGCCACGTTGCCTGTTCTCGCTTCTGTTTTTTAATCTTTTTTTACAATCGAAGTTCGATAAGAACTGTCAGTACTGTGGAGCTATATGTGAGCAAAATCGTGACCTTTAGGAAAGGCAAAAAATAACCTGTTTCCATCATTGTTCTGCAACTTATCGTCAATCATTTTGTTCATACCCATGTGTATATTCATGTGTTACAGTAACAACTTGAACTATCAGGAAAGTCTCATAAAGCTCCTTCTTGGGATTGAGATTCTGCAGGTAAACTGATTGCAAAAGTTGTGGTTGGCACAGTGAGTAATAAGTGCACATTTCTTGTGGTTTATTCTTGAATTTTTCTTTCTCTCTTAGCCTTCTGTTATGAACACATTATTTGAAAAAATTCCTGAATTTATGTATGATGGGTAAGTCTCACTTTTCTTTCATTGTATAGTTTTTGTAGTTCCCATAGCCTATAGAGAGTATGTTCGCATGAAGGCAATTGCCCACTGTATGTATCAGATAGTTTAGAGTAGCCTTATTATTAAACAAGGCTGTAGAAAATTACAATACAATTCAATGCAATAAAGGAACAGATCCTTTGGCCCACCAAGGCTGTGTCAATTCTAATCCTTATTTAAACCCGGTAGTTACTGCTTCCGTGTTGTTTCTATCCTTCCGTTCGCCTCCCATTCATGAGTCTATCAAGACATGCATTAAACATTGTGAACGTGCCTGCTTCCACCACCTCCACTGGCAGTGCATTCCAGGCACCCACCACTCTCTGTGTGAAAAATTTTCCCTGTATTTCTCCTCTAAACTTTCCTGTCACCTTGATCCTGTGTCCTCTTGTAGTTCACCTTTCCCTGGGAAAACATCTCTGACTATCCACCCTATCTATGGCTCTCATAATTTTGTAAACCTCTATCAGGTCGCCCCTCAACCTCAGTCTTTCCAGTGAAAACAATTGAATTTATCCAACCTTTCCTCATAACTGAAACTTTTCAGATCAGGCAACATCCTAGTAAACCTTCTCTGCATTCTCTCCATTACTACTGAAACGCTTTTGTAAAGACTGGAATTTTAAATTTTTCTATATTTTTGATTGTGGACTGAAGTGAGAGAAGAACTTTTTTAAAAGCCAAGGATTGTTGAAAGATTGCTGCAATTTTGAAAGCAAATAACCTGACACTCATTGAAAGTGCTGTTAACATGGTTGCTTGTGAAGCAGTATTTGAAAGCTGAGGGTGTATACAAATGGAGATTCTGCTGGCAACATGTAGCTTATTGGTCTGTGAACTAGTTAACTAGTGAACTAGCCTGTTAACTAGTGAACTGTTGACAATTACATAGGTCTACTGTCTGCCAACATCTATGTAATTGGTTCTCAGGTAGCTGAACAACTTTAACAAGATCAGGAGATGCCATGAGACCTCTACCATTTCAGAAGCGCGCTCTGTTCTCTGCAGTAAAAGCCACTTTGAACCTGAAGAAAGCCAGTTTATTTTTCCTACAGCAGTTGCTGTAAGATGAGAATTTTAATTAATAAGTCAGAGACCTTTTATATGTGTAAACCAACCACTTTGTGTCACCTGCAAAGAAGTGAAAGCTTCCAGAGAAGGAAGACTGAAAAGCAGCATGCGATATATAGAACTGCTGATGCTGGAGTCAGACATAACACAGTGTGGAGCTGGAGGAACACAGCAGGCTAGGCAACATCAGAGGAGCAGGAAAGCTGACGTTTTGGGTCAGGACCCTTCTTCAGAAAAGCAGCATTCTGATTAGCTTAAGAACCATCTTAGCAGATCCTGTGAACGGAGAACACTGAACTGCTTTCTCAGTTTTCCCTCATTCAGTAATACTCATTTTTTTTCTTGTCTGTGTATTTGTGTATGTAAAGGGGAGTTTAAAAGGAGGTTAGAGTTTTAATTAGTAGAACCATATGACACTTGTTCATGATTGTTTGCCTGTGACTACAGTCTGTTCTGTTGTGAATGAATAGTAATTCTTATAAGTACAGAAACCTGGTTTGTGCTTTCTGTCAATCTGGGTCTGAAAATCAACTAAATTGGAGATTTTGCAGACTTTTATAAAATCCTTAACTTTTGTCATGACTCCAGGAATACCAGGGCTCAATTTCCAGCATGCACTCCCATAATCGGCTGGCACAGTGGCTCAGTTTTTAGCACTGCTACCTCACAGCCTCAGGGACCTGGGCTTGATTCCACCCTGACATGATTGTCTGTGTGGAGTTTGCACATTCTGCCCATGTCTGCGTGGGTTTCCACCCACAGTCTAAAGATGTGCATGTTAGCTGGATTGGCCATACTAAATTGTTCATAGTGTTCAGGGATGTGCAAGCTAGGTGGATTAGCCATGGGAAATGCAGGGTTGCGGGGAGAGGGTAGGGGGAGTCAGTCTGGGTGGGATGCTTTTCAGAGGGTATTTGTGGACTCGATGGGCTGAATGGCCTGCTTCCATATTGTAGGGATTCTATGATTCAATGCCTACCATGCTACTCTAACATTATCTACCTTAAAGGAAAACTAATGATTCAACGTTCTTCCCCTATGCTCACCATTATTATTCTTCCTTTCCTCAACCAGTATCAAAGCAGATTGGAATGTTATTCATTTAATAATTGCTTGTGGAACCTGCCAATAACAGCAGTTCAAAAATAGTAATGAATTGGATTTGAAATCCTTTGTGATATCTGAATAATGCCTGGGAGTCTGTCTTTATTACAGTTTAGTTAGTTATTACTGTATAGTTTAAATAAAAGTAGATACATCACTTCTTGAATACAGTAATAACAATAGACTATTGGTTTTCAAAATTCCATCGTCAGATTTTTAATACCTGGGACTTTTAGGGACTAAGATGGTTTGTAAAATAAAAGACAACTGATTTAAAAGATGGTCACAGCAATCATCTGACCACACAGGTTTGCCAAGATCTGTGAAACTAACTTGAAGTGAACAAAATCATTTGAACTGAAATTAACACCTTTTAATTAAAAAGTACGGAAAACTAGTCTACCCAGTCAGTCATCTACTCATTTCCCACGTTGATTTGCATCAGTGTGATAAGTTTCACATTTTGGAGATGTAGGACATTGTCTACAATTTTGGAGCTTAGAAGCCAAAAGCTCAGACATTGGAATCAACAATCAAACTGTATTTCAGGGAGTTTCTTTAGTAGAGCAGGGGAGATGGATTTGTGATGAGAACAAATTGGAGAAAGCTCTTTCTCTCTCTGTCAGCCTCTTAAGAAGGAACAATGTCCAGTGATAGAACTGATTAAAAGGAAACATCAGGATACTGACAACTCAAAGGACAACAGAAATACTTGCTACTCTGAGGATACAAGACATCAATTAACAAACCATAAACAAAAACAGAAATTGCTGGAAAAGCTCAGCAGATCTGGCAGTATCTGTGGAGAGAAATCAGAGTTAATATTTTGGGTCAAGTGACCCTTCATCAAAACTCAACTCAACTCCATTCTGAGGAAGGGTTATTTGATCCAAAATGTTAACTCTGATTTCTCTCCACATATGCTGCCAGACCTGCTGAGCTTTTCCAGCAATTTTTGTTTTTGTTTCTGATTTACGGCATCCGCAGTTCGTTTGGTTTTTGTTTGGTAATTAACTAAACCCTTTAAAGACACCATCAGGCCTTTAAACTGTAGATTTCCTTTGTCAACCTTTTGCACTGGACAACATCCCTCTTGAACATCGAACCTCTGCGCATGTATATTTTTTGAAGTTGCATTTTATTATTTTTCTCTGAGTTAACAAATAATAAAATGATCCTTTTTACCACTCAATATAACATTGTAATTGATTCCTTGTTGCTTTTGGTGAACCAGTTAATTACTTTTTTAATGGAGCTAAAAACAATGTAAATTTTAGTTGTGGCCAACTGACGAGGTTGAAAAGAAGGAAGTCAAATCACCCATCCTTACCTGGTTGTAACATCTGATATATCTTTATACGGGCATGTTTTCCAATGATCACACCATTTGGTTTCCTGAGGTAGGCTGTTAACCTACATGATCTAACTATTTGATAATACCTCCTTGTGAGTTAATGCTGATTGATATTAGTGTAGAGTAATGTGAGAACAGAACTTTGACTAGGTGAGTTATTGAACTACTGTCAGAATCTCAATTCTTTGATACCCCTCTCCCTGCATGTGTGAAAATAGATTTCCTTTAAGCAAGTTTTCTCTATTTCAGTATTCCAGAGGATGGAATTAACATGCCACGACTCATCATCAGTCAGTTTAAATGGTTGGACAGGATCATAGATAGTAAGGTAAGCACAAAACTATTATCTTTACAACCCTCTGTCCACCCCTACCTGGTTAAGATAAGTGCTTATACAACCGTAACATCTTGTTTAATTTGTTAATTTGATTCTGATTGATTAATTTGCTGTTTGAGCGCAAGTCTAGAGTCATCTGCGCAATCAGTGGAGAGGAAAATGGATGCCTTTGAGAGGTCACCACTTAAGAGGCAATTTGTTTGCATTGTCTTTTCATTGATGTCTCCCCCCTTCAAAAAAAGGGAAAAGTGTTACACTGCTTGGTGAGCCTATCTATAATTTTGATTTTTAATTGATCATTGACCATGATCAGTAACTGAATGTCATTTGCCAAGGAATGTCTGAGTTATTAAATTAGCACAAGGCCATATTTGGAAAACTAGTTTGGTGTACGCTGACATAGGAAGGACATTGAAACCACAAAGTGTATGCAGTTTAGATTCATTTGAACGACTGGGATTATTTTCACTGCAGCAGGAAAAGGATAAGAGAATCTTAAGTTTCAGCATTATGAAGATTTTGTAGGGTAAATTTGAAATTTTTTTTATCGATATCCTGTGACTCCTCAATTTAAAATTGTCAAAAAGTGACAGTTGTGAGGAGAAATATTTATGCAGATATGAAGTATTGTGGATTTGCCACAGTGAAGCAGAATTCATTGCATCTTTTGAGAAGCACCAGAAAATGCACGACTAAAGCAGGAAGTTAGGGGACTGGGATTCACCTTTGCCTGCTCTAACAAAGAGCTGGCACAGGTACAATAGGCTGAATGGCCTCCTCCTGCACTGCAAATGTCTGTTTGGTCAGAGATTTTGTTATGATGCCAGCTATTATTATTTTATTATGATAATTTTGGAATAAAGCCGTCACCACATAATACACAATGTCATTTGGAATTGATTTAGAGAGTTACTAGAAGTTAATATTCTAATTTGTTGCTTATTGGCATCTTTGAATAAGATAATTATCTTGTAAATATGCCTGTGAATTCTTGCACACTCTCTTGCTGTATTCTATTGGTTAGTTACATTTGTTTACCTATTGGTTTGTAAATGGACGATATTTTCTGTTTTATGTTTGTTTATGGCATTCAAGAACTGAACAGTACACCATATGATCATTCCTTATTTCCCTGTCTGGTTTGTTCCAGGATTTGACTAGTAAGATTATGCAGCTGATTAGTGTTGCTCCTCTTGAAATTCAGCAGGATATCATCATCAGCTTGCCAGAAATTTTGGAAGATGCCCAACACAATGAAATTGCCAAAGAACTTAAGTAAGCTAGATCTGGAATATGTGGTGAATGCCCTTTTATATATAGCTGAGAGTTAAGCTCCTCTGGTGACTAAGTTTATCAGTGTACTTTCCAAGGTGAGGCTGAACCATATAGTCCCACTCTGTTCATATTGATCTAGTGGAGTCACTTGTATTTTTGGTTCATTGCCTCTGGCTTAAAGAATGTGAGAATAATATCAACCTAGCTTGCACTCCTGACATGTATCTATACCCTGGGCTTCACTGTAGCCTCCCCACCTCACCCCATCATGTTCAGTTTGGCTTAGGCTATAGAAAGCATTTAAATCCCAATTGCCAATATTGGCAATATGACCCAATGCACGTCAGTTGGGAAGAGAAAATTAAAAGTGACCAGCTACTTTTAACAGCTTTCTTTGTTAATGCTGCAGAGTAAATTTTATATTCGCTTTACAACATATATTGTGAAATATTTTAGCTGTAAAAATTACTGTCATAGCTGTGACCTTAATAATAACAATTTGGCTTGTACAACAGCTGAGCCTAGGAAGATATTTGTAATACTATGCAAAATGCAGAGGTTTAACTATTCATGGAAAAAATCTATACGATTAAGTACAATTACCAGATTAGACAATTGGGGAAACAAATCTCCACTTTCCAAGTGCAAGCTTATATTTTTCTTCTGCTATTTGGACTTTTTTTTCCCAAAGAAAATAATTATCTCCACTTGTTTAACGTAACCACAGTAGTACATATTGTCCCACTGGTCTGGTCAGGGCAATGCATACAAAAAGCCTTAGTGTAACCTCTGTAGACTGGCACAGCACGATTCTGCTTATTTAACCATTATTTTTAAATTGTTGTTCCATCATAGAGTTATACAGCACAGAAACAGAGCTGTGCTGACCATAATCCCATCTAAACTAGTCCCACCCGCTTGCTCCTGGCCCATATCCCTCCAAACCTTTCCCATTCACATACTTAACCAAATGTCTGTAAACGTTGTAATTGTACCCGCATTCAACACTTCCTCTGGAAGTTCATTCCACACACAAACCACCCTCTGTGTAAAAATTTTCTCATCATGTCTTTTTAAATCTCTCTCCTCTCATCTTTAAAAATTTTCCGTTTAGTCTTGAAATCTCCCATCCTGTGGGAAAAGCCAACTATCGTTAACTCTATCTATACCCCTCTTTATTTTATAAACTTCCGTCTCTCAGCCTCCTACGCTTCAGTGGAAAAAGTCTCAGCCAATCCAGGCTTTCTTTATAACATTGAAAGTGAAGTGTGTGTTATGACTGTCAAATTTCTTTCTACATCTCTTGAAATGCAATTTTGTTTAAATTTATTGTATGACAATGTTCTCTTTTTTTTTCACTTTTTGTGTTAATTCGTATTCCAATCAGTTCTACATGATTTATGTTCTTTCTGACAGTTCCTTGTTGCAACGGAACACTCAGCTGACAGTGCCCATCTTGGATGCCCTCTCTAGCCTCAATCTACAGGCTGAGCTATTGATAGAGGTGAGCCTCCCTCATCTGAAGTTGCAGTATTTAAAATTTGAAACTCCCTCACTTTCTGTTCAGCTTTAGAATGTGAACATAGATAATTGTAAAATTTTTAAAATGGAACTTCTTGTACTACTGCTTCTATGTGCTACAATTGAAAACAGAAAGCAAAGCACCAGTACAAATGCGTTTTTGTTAGGGAGCATTTTGAGACACTTCAATTTCCTAAGTGTCTTTGATTGTTGAGGTAGGAACAAAGTTAGCCATTGTATTCATCCCACCTAGAAAAGTGCACATGTACTTCTGATCTGGAATGTACTACTTGGGTAAGGAAGATTCAGTACAGTGGTAACTTTGAAAGCAAAATCAGAAATTGTTGGAAAAACTCAGCAGGTCTGGCAACATCTGTGAAGAGAAAACAGAGTTAATGTTTGGTCTAGTGATCCTAATGGTGGCATAGTGGTAATGTCACTGAGGCGCAAGATTATGTTCTGGGACAAGGGTTCATGTCTCACCAGATCGCTGGAGGACTTTAAATTCCGTTGATAAATCAGGAATTGATAGCTAGTCTCAGTAATGGTGCCCATGAAACCATAATTGATCATCATGAAATATCCATTCTTGTTAACTAATGTTCTTTTAATGAAGAAAATCTGCCATCCTTACCTGGTCTGGTGTATTTGTGGCTTCACGTGCACAGTACTATGTTGATTCTTCACAGCCCACTGTAATGACCTATTAAGATGTTGATTTCAAGGACAATTAGGCAATAACAAATTCTGGCCTTGCCAGTGAAAACCACATCACAGGAAAGAATGGGAAAATCATAGAATCCCTGCAGTGCAGAAAAAGGTCATTCGGCCCATCGAGTCTGCAACGACCTTCTGAAGAGCATCCCACCCAGACTCTCCTCGAAACCCTGTACCCCCCCAACCACATTTACCATGGCTAATCTGAGGTTACATAATCCAGATCATCTGTTGTTCCTTTCAAAGCCCCCAAATCAAAAATCGAAAACCTCATTTAGCTCAGTTCCCTCATGAAACAGTTGACAATTCCACCTCCATCCTAAAACTATTCAGAGTTCTATTCACGGTTCTATTCAATCAACTTCAGGAGTCAGTGGAACTAATTGAGTAGTTCTTACGAAGAGCTAGTACGGACACAATAGACTGAAGAATAGAGCATATTTAGTTCATTTGAAAGGAGACGATTTCTTTCTGGACTCCATGAACAACTACACTTGAAAGGATTTGAAACCATTGTAAATCTCCCATTATTATCAGAAATAGCTGGAGAAACTCAGCAGGTGTGGCAACCTCTGTTCTGAACAGAGTTCTGAAGAAAGATCACGGACCTGAAATGTTGACTATTCTTTCTCTGCACAGTTGCTGCCAGACTTGCTGAGTTTCTCCAGCTATTTCTAATTTTGTTTCAGATTTCCAGTATCCACAGTTCTTTCAATTTTTATTATCTTGGGTTCGGTGTCCGAAAGGAGAATATGCAAGTTTTTTATTTCCAATACTGTACATTGTCCCTGCCCAGTGAATAAACATGCAGCCTCCTCTTGAAGATTACCCCATTGACTCAGTAAAAACTGTAAATTGAGCAGAGTGGGGATTTGTGGAGCGGCAAGGGTGCTGAGTGAAAAATGTTTCATAATGTTCCCCTGTCTTCTTGTGTGATGTGAGCCAGTCTTCTGCCAACACCACTGTTGCCTGTGGCTCCCTAAAGTGTAGTGTGATGCTGCTAATTCTTTAAGCCACCTCTTTGGGTTCTGAAAAAACAGCATCAGTTACCCCAGGGAACTGATTGCTTTTCATGAGAGAATCCTGACAGTGATTGTGCCTGACTGTATGGGGAGGTGATGGCCTAGTGGTATTATCGCTGGACTGTTAATCCAGAGACCCGCCACGACAGATGGTGGAATTTGAATTCACTAAAAAAAATGTGGAATTAAGAATCTAATGATGACTATGAATCCATTGTTGATTGTCAGAAAAAACCTATCTGGTTCACTAATGTCCTTTAGGGATGGAAACTGCCATCCTTACCTGGTCTGGTCTACATGTTACTTCAGACCCACAGCACTGTGGTTGACTCTTAACTGCCCTCTGGGCAATAAATGCTGCCTGGTCAGCGATGCCCTCAACCCGTTAATGAATTTAAAAACAAAAAAATACAGCTATAGCTAATCTCATCTTCATCTGGTATTTGCATTTCTGCTTCCAGTATGGACAATTGGATTGAAATCTGAAGACATAATCCTGGACCATAAATTATTGGGTTAACCTGCATCAGGAAACCCATCTATATAACTTACAGCCATATCATATGATGCATTTATCCATTCGAAAATACAAATTTATATATATTACCGATATTTTGAAAAAATGCTTTATCTTGATGTATGGATGGAAAATTGAAGACACATTCTCATACAGAGCAGCCATAGGGTACTTTCATATCGGAAAAGTATTTCAGTTTATGATTCATTTCTCTTTTTTATACCTGCAGGTGCGCCATTCTGTTATGTCGACCTTGTCTGCAGTGAAACTTGATGATCTCCCTGTAATTGTCAAGTTCATTTTCCATGCCATCACAACAGAAGATGCTGTAGAGGTAAAACACTTGAATATGCTTTTTTATTAGAAATTCACAACCAAGAATGAATTGTCAGCTGTTGTTAGAAGTACTAACTGTCTGATGTATTATGATTCTTTGAGACTTTGCCTGAGCAGACAGTTGTCTTGGCTTATTACTTCTTCTGAAAGACTAAGTTCTGACAGTGCAACAATTGTTGCACGCCAGCTGAGGTTACCATGAAGGACTGTCCTTCTCAACCTCTCCTTTCACCTGAGGTGTGGTGATCGTCAGGTTAAACACCATCAGTCATCTCTCTGTAATGTATGAGCAGCCCTACAAAAGTGTCAGTCTTGATTGTCAGTGGTGATATTGTATCTGAGCCACACTATTGAGATGACGCAATTATGCACTTTTCTAGAATGATATATATTCTTAATCATTCTGGTTCAGAAATGTTATGACACATCTCCAGGACAGGTGGGACTTGGCTCAGAGTGAGGTACAGTAGCACTGCATATGAAACCCCTTCCAGAATTATAATTATTTTAATCAACCTGTTCGGACACGTTACGATGTACCTATGGGGCAAATCAGACTTGAACCTGGATCTTCTTGGCCCAGAGGTAGACACACTGCTACTGCAACACAAGAGCCCAATTTCAGATTAATATAACAAGACAAATTATATTAATTATATGTAATTCTGAAAAGAAGTTTTGGCTGCATCAACCCATGGTGTTAAGGGCAATTAGGAACTAAATGAGAAAATTATTTTTTGGTTAAATTGTTGAAGATTTTACTTGGTGTATGAGTAATTTTAGCAGTAGTGCAAAAGCCAAATATTGCAGGTGCTTGAAATCTAAATTGAAAATAGAAATTACTCAAAACATTAAGCTGCTCAGGAAGCATCTGTGAAAAAAAACAAAGTTATAGTTTCAGGTTGATGATTCTTCTTTTTTACTTTCACATGTAGTCCAAAATCTAGTTTCCAAAGGACTAAGACCATGGTGGATTTTGGATTTTCCCAGATTTTAGGTTAGCAAGCAACTGCTTCGAGTCACACTCTGAGACTTTTTATCTATGAAGATCAGTTTATGACATGATAAAGCAGCTTGATTATCGAGCTATAAATCCTTCTGATATGCTCATGGCAGGTGGTAACAGCTGGAGAACCTGCATGCCAAGAATAAACCTGGACTAATATGGAAGTCCATGGCTGTCAGCATCCTTTCAGGCAACACTGCCTGAAGAGAGATGTCAGACTGTCAGATGCTTTAAGCACCATTCCATATATTTAGTTAGTCAGAGCAGATTTCTGAAACTAGCAACAATTCACAGAAAATTAGAATCAGAGAAGATTTATGTTTAAACCTATTTTTTTAATCAACCTATTCAAAGATGTTATTACACACGTCTGGAGCATGTGGGACTTGAACCTGAGTCTCCTGGTCCAGGGGTGGGGACACTACCACTGTGTCACAAGAGGGGCTTCAGGTTTATGTTTAAAGGACAACCATAGTTACAGCTATCACCTACACTCTTATTACATGAAATCGTTGTCAGTTGCTAAGTTTTTTTTTTGTGTTGCAACCTTTCTGTTGTGTCTATGCACAATTTGATTTCAGAAATGGAAGTATAACATTATTTTGTGTAAGAAGAGTGTGCCACTTGACTCTTTAATTTTAATGTGGCTTTCATTGATGCAGCAACAGACCTTGTGGAGAAGCCTTTGAACTTTGTTTTCTGAAACTTGCACTGTTCTTTCATTTTAGGTGATTACAGAATTGCGGATGAATCTAGGATTGGAATCTTGTGTGCTTCCTTCACAACTGCAGATTAGCTGGGACAAGCAGAAACAGAAGAGTGTTACAGGGTACAATGCCAAAACGTTTTATGCATAAGTGATCCAGCTGGAATTTGAACAGTTCCTCATTGCAGTTTTATACTGAGACTCCTTATGTGTTTGAACAGAAAATAAGATTCAAAATAAGGTGGAGGCCAGATTAAAATACACCGTCCCTCTAATACAGAAATATCTAAAACTATTTATCTTTCTGATTAAACAGCTTTTTAAGAAAGAAAACTCACCTGCTATGTGGGACAATTCACAATAATGCTCCACAAGAGCTCTGTGGAATTACAAACCTATTGAGCAATGTTAGCTATGGCTTAGTTGGTAACATTCTCATTTCTGCATCAGGAGGTTGGGGGTTCAAGTCCTACTCAAGACTTGAGCACTAAAATTAAGGCCAACACTCCAGTATGTTACTGTGGGAATGCAGAACTGTTGGGGATGCCATCTTTCATGAGACCCTATTTTTCCTCCCAGGTGGACATTAGGGATTTTACGGCACTATTTCAAAGAAGAATGAGGGAGTATCCCCGGAGTTTTGCTGAATATTTGTCTCTCAATCGATTTCACAAAATGAAAAGTGATTTGATCATTAATATTTTGTGTTTTTGGGAACTTGCTATGCACAAGCTGTCTGTCCCACTTCTGGCATTACACTCAGCGCCTGGTTCCCTTGGGCATTGCACAGAAAGTAGCGGTCCTTTGCCTGTGGTTGCCCAGAATATCAGATCGCTTTTGCAGGCCTTGCAGGCCGCATTCCTGATTCTGCTGGTGGGGGACTGCCCCCACATAACTCCTTCCTTGCACCACCGCCAACTGGCTGCACGACAGCACTGCCACAGCCTTGCTGGCTATACTTTGCAAGTACTTCATTAGCTATAAAATGCTTTGAAACATCTGATAGTTGTGAAAGGTATCTTTTTATTGCTGCTTATGACTTGCAAAGTACAGTTTCCGAAATGCTTTAGAGAACTGATGATCCAGAAATGTGGTAATAAAAACAGAAATTGCCGGGAAAACTCAGCAGGTCTGGCAGCATCTGTGAAGAAACGTCAGAGTAAACATTTTGGGCCCAGTGAACCTTCTACAGAACAGAAATATGGTAATGCTTTAACATTAAGACTTTTTTTTTGTTGTACTTTAATGGAACCCGCTAAGTGGAAGAGAATATGCATCTGGCTTCTACAACTAGTCAGGAGTTTCTTAAATACAGTGCAACACTCATTCAGAAGACAAGCTTTTCTGATAATGACTGATGTTGATCAATGTGCTGTTTTTGTATTTAGAGCTTTAGTGAATCAAGAGAATGGTGGTCACGACTGTGTTGCAATCATGTTTGATGTTATCAAAGCTGCAGTAAGGTTTCAGAAAGCAACAGCTGAGGCTTGGATTAAGGTAACTCCTAAATAATAGAGATGGCAAGAACTGCAAATAATATTTTTTTTATGTTGAAGATGTCTTCAAGGCCAAAAATTTAAATAAGTTAATGGAGTGAAGCACAAAAGTCTAATATGACGCTCTTTTAGTTTTGTGTATTGTGAACCACGTGTACTCAGCTTGTATTGCACAGGCCTGTTATTATGGAACCAAATCAATATCAGGACCTGTGACTATTAGCATTGAACCTCCGTGTTCGCAAGGAACTGTCATCTCAGAAGCAGTTAAAAATCAAATATATTGGGTCTGGAGTCATAAATAGAATGACAGATTTCCTTTCCTAAAGGGCATTGGTAAATCAGATGGCAATCAATCATAGTTTCTGGCACCATGACATTGAGTACATTCAATTTTAGATATTATTAATGGAATTTGATTTCTACCGGCTGCCATAGTGATATTTAAGGTCAAAAATCACACAATACCAGGTTATAGCCTGGCAGGTTTATTTGAAAACACAAGCTTTCGGAGCCTCGCTCTTTCTTCAGGTGTCAGTAGCTTGTGTTTTCAAATAAACCTGTAGGACTATAACCTGGTGTTGTGCGATTTTTGACCCTGTCCACCCCAGTCCAACACTGGCATCTCCAGATCATAGTGGTATTTAACTCTGTGGTTTGCAGACCATTAGCTGGGCCCTCTGAATTATTAGTCGAGTGACATTAGTGCTAGGCCAACACCACCTGCATGTTTCAAATTCTTTGAAGCACTATAGGGGGCATCCTCCTTTATACACTATATCTTCCTACATCAAAGATACATGTCAGAGATAGGCCCTCATGATGTGTCCCAAATCCTTTGAAGACAATTTATTCATGAAAACAGTTGTAGTTGTTTACATCAAAGCTATTTCTTTAAATTCTTTTTTAAAAAGGCATTTTAACTATTACCTTTCTATGCTATAGTTAATGGATGTGTTTACCTTTGTTTATTATTCTAATCATCAAATTTGTACCTTACTTTCGCGTGACCACCATAATTACTTTCAATTATTTCCTTACACAAACACTTTTCCTGAATAATGTACAGACTCTGAAAGCAAAAGACAAGCTTTGCTACTTTCTCATGACATTTCAAAGTCAACCAGTTTCCCTTGGAAAGTCTGCTGCTCTATAGTACAAAGAGCTTGGAACCTTTAAATCTCTAGGGAGTCCAGTAAGGACCCCCCTCCTTCTTTTTCATCCACAAACTCTATCGGACTGGCCCTAACATCTGCAGAGATAGATTTAATAATATCCTTCTTTGATCATGAAGTTGGATAACAAGTGAGAAATTTTAAAGTCATTTCCTTTTGTAAATGACCATCTTTACAATATAATAAACATGCCAATTAAAAAGCCTGCAAGGGCTGTTTCCTCTTGGAAAGAAGAAAGCTCGGAGGAGATCTGATAGAGGTTTTCAAAATCATGAGTGGGATGGATAGAGTCGACAAGGGGAAACTGGTCCCACTTGTCAAAGGAGCGAGAATAAGAGGGCATAGACTTAAAGTGATCTGTAAAAGAAGCAAGGGTGAAATGTGGCAACACCTTTTCATTTAGTGAATATGGAATGCACTGTTTGCAGGTGTGTTGGAGGCAGGTTCCTTTGAGGCATTCAGGAAGGCATTGGCTGATTATTTGGATAAAAATAGTGTGCAAGGTTATATGCAAAAAGTATGAGATGAGCACTAGTTAATGATGCTCATTTAGTGAGGCAGTGCAGGCATGAGGGGCAAATGGTCTCTTCTGAGCTGTAACACATCTGTGATTCTATGAAGTATGGTTTGCTTTTTTTGGGAAGACATCTTAAGTGCAAAATTTAAGTGCAAAACTGTTTATTCTTTAATACATACATTTCTGCAGCACATTTAACACTTACCAACTATGGTCTTTCAGACACTGTTTAGTGGATAGAAATACATTCCTCTTTGTATGCTGGATTTGTGAGATCTAAAAAAATAGAAAATAAACACAGTAGAAATGAGAGGTCTTTTTCTTAATTTCATTGTTTCTAATTAGCTCACATCCTCCTAGAAATCACTGATACTTTCTTGGACACAATTGCGAGGACGTCAGCATTCTGCTGGTTTTCATCCGAACTCGAATCACAAATGCTGTTAGGATAATTAAAAATAGAGGGAAACATAGCCAGACCTTGTGCTGTGCTTAGCCGACATCCCATGCAAGTGCATCACTTGTGGGACTGGGTGAGTGTGATCGTAATTAGCAGAACCATAACTCACTTTTACCTCTGTTCTGATAAGCCAGATGTGATGAGGTCTGTTATTGCTCCCAAACCACTGCTCCAGTGGATTCAGATAACTGGATTTACTGGGATTAAATCTGAAACTGTCTATACTTCGCACCTGAGTATCATACCTAACCATACGAAAGGAAGATATCTTCCCTGCCTTAGTACTGAATGCCTCCACTTACGAAGCCAAAAATTCCATGTGCTTTGCTAACCATTTAATTTATCCTACCTTCAACGATCTATCAACAGGTCCCTGTAGCCTTTTTGGTACTGTACCATTAAGTCCATATTGTGTTTCCACATCCCTTTTGCCAAAATACGTCCCCTTACTCTTCTGAGACTTGCATTTATATAGCACCTTTTGTGACCTCACATCATCCCAAAACAATTTACAATAAAGTATATTTGAAGTGTAATTATTATAGTCATGTGGAAAGCTTGGCAGCCAAGTTTCTAACAACCGTAATGAGATAATGAGCAGATCATCTGTTTTAGTGATGTTGGTTCAGGATAAATTTTGACCGGGGCATCAACAGAACTCCCTTGTGTTTCTTCACGCTTTGCCAAGTCCTCAATTATACCCTTTTAAGTGAACAGACAGGACCTCACCTCAAAGATGGCCCCTCAGACATTGCAGTATTCCCCCAGCACCAGAGTGTAAACATAGATTATGTGGTTAATTCTTTGATATAGTACTTGTTCCTAAGATATTGATGTGAAAGAAAACATAAAGAATAATATTATTTCCTGTTACAGGCTATTGAAGTGGTAGATTCTGCTGCTGGGCACAAGGTAACTAATTCCTTTTGCTATCTATGTTTCTGTAATTGTTGCAAGATTTCTTCATTTTAAAAAGAAAACATACAGGCTACACTGCTGTATTTTAAAATAGTGATGCCAGTAAACTGAAAGAACAAGCAGCTCATTTGTAAGAAACAAATTGTATTAACTGTCCAGCTTTAACCTGCCAAGTGCAGTCAACAGGGATCTTTTTCATCTCTAACTGAGATAATAAACAAAGGAATGCTAATTGGCTTTGTCTATTTTAAAAAGTGATGGAAAGTTAACAGAATTTAATATTCTGACAAAGCATTTATTCAGTATACAATCTTGACCGAAGAATAGGAGAACCAAAATTGAAACCGTATCTCCAGCTGTGAGAAGGATGATGGCCCATCTGCCGACTTGTTCTGAATATAGCCAGAGCAATTTATTTATTCACTTTCCCTCCACTATTTCTTTATAACTCTGCAATTCCTTCCCCCCCAGAATTCTTATTCAATTCTATTTTGGAAATTATTATTGACTCTTCTTCCACTTTCAGGAAGTGTATTCTAGGTCACAATTCTCTGTACATAAAATCTTTTCCTTAGCTTGCCTCTTTCGTTTGTTAATAGCTTAAGTATTCATCTTCCTTCTACTGGCAAGAGATGCTGTATTTGCAAACTTGGGTTGCAAATGATTTATTCTTTTACTCAGTAAATGCTTATACAGTGAAATGTTTCTTGCTATAGTGGATGGAAGGGATACAGAGTTCTCTCACCCTTTTGCTGTTAATGACATTGAGCTGTTGATATATTGTAATATTTTTGATTCCTTTTGAAGGTTATCGATCTGTTGGTTCTCCTAATCCTCCACACAACCAGTACAAGCAACATCAAGAAACAAGTGGAGAAACTGTTACGTAGCAAAATTCGTCTTGGCCATATTGGGGATCAGCTTTTGCAGGTTGCATTCAGAAGTCATGCTCTGGTCAGTACCACTAACTGACTGAGGACATTTCATACTTTTACGTTATGAAACCGTCTGCTGAAATTTGCCCTTGCAAACTGGTTGTGTTTAACCTACGTCAAGCTCCCACATTTTCCGCAATCTCCATTATGCCACCACTAAATACATCTTCTCTTGCCCTGTCAACATTCCATAGAGACCATTCCCACTGTGGAATCCTGGTCCATTCCTCTATTACCCCCAGCACTTCATCCACCTCCCATTTCTTTACACCTTCCCATGGAATCACATTTGCCCTTTACCTCCTCCTTCCTCATTGTCCAATGCCTCAAATACTCCTCCTGTGTGAAGTAGTGATTGACTTGTACTACTTTCAATCCAGTCTGCTACATCTGCTGCTCATAATATGGGTCACCTCTAATCTAGTATGCCACATCTGCTGCTCACAATGTGATCTCTTCTAAGTCAAAGAGATCAAATGCAGTCAAGGTAATTGATTTGCTCTATGCCTCCACACAGTCATCATGTGTGACTCCAATCTTCGGTTGTTCGCCATTTCAATACACCATTTTGTTCTCAGGTTCTTATTTCTGCCCTTCCAGTGAAACCTTTTGTAAGTTGGAGGAACAGCACCTCATTTTCAGTTTAGGCATTTTACAGTCCCCTGGACCCAATGCTGAATTCACCAGTTTCAGACCTTGAACTCTGGCTTCCATCTTGACATTTCATAACTCCCATCCCAATATCTGTATGTTGTGCCCTTTTTTTTCTACAACCATACTGCTCCCATTAACTTTTCCAGACCTGCCCTTCTGTTTCACTTGCCCCTCCCCCTTTCAACAACATAGCTTTTCCAGCACACTTCCCTTCTGAAGGGAACTTGGACTCGAAATGTTAACTGTTTTTCTCTTCACAGATGTTAGTTTCTTCAACACTTTCTGTTTATATTCCACGTCGCCAGCATGTGCAGTATTTTGCTTTGATTCACATTATGTATTATAGAGTCATACAGTGTGGAAACCATACCCTTCAGTCCAACCAGTCCGCACCAACCATGTTCCCAAACTAAACTAGTCCCACTTGCCTGCCCTTGGCCGACATCCCTCCAAACCTTTCCTATTCATGAATTTATCTGAATGTCTTTTAAATGTTGTAACTGTACCGGTAGCCACTGCTTTCTCTGGCACTTCATTCCACACACGAACCACCATCTGTGTTCAAAAAAAGGTTGCCCCTCGTGTCCTTTTTAAATCTTTCCCCTCTCACCTTAAAAATATGCTCCCTAGTCTTCAAATTCCCCATCCTAGGGAAAAGACCCTTGTCATTCACCTCATCCACGTCCCTCATGAATTTATAAACCTCTATAACGTGACACCTCAACCTCCTATCCTCCAGTGAAAAAAGTCCCAGTCTTTCTAGTCTATTTTTATATCTCAAACCCTAAGCTATTTTCCTATCTGCTTAATCCATTCACAAAAGTTTTATTTTGCCTGCTGAACTGTAGTCAGGTTTTGGTTGCAATGAATTTTGGGGCATAATTCCTTCTACATCAATTTTCATCATTTTAACCAGTCTCTTCTACTTGCTCACTCCAAACTTATCCACCTGTCATCACCTTCCTGTGTTATATTTTCCTCTTCGACACGCCGTCTCCATTCTATCTCCAGTTGCTGTCCATTACTTCAGGGGTTCTCTGTATCCTGATGTTTCACATTCGTCATGTTTATTTAGTGTTAGGCCATTTTCATTTTGCTTTTGAAATAAACTGAAATAATGTTGTGTTTTAACATTCTGGTTCAGTGTATCAGTGTTAATAATTGGAGAATTTACAGTGGCATTTGTTAATTTTATCCTTCCGAAAACCTAATTAAATAAGAACATTATCTTTGCTTGCCCTTTGAACGGAAGATAACCATGTTCAACATCGAGAGTTGTTTGGTTGGGTTCTGATGGGTATGTAGGTGACTGCTAAGGTTAATCCGGATAAGACTTGGTTGTGTCAGGTATGGGCCACAACTGGAATACTGTGTGCAATTCGGGTCACCACATTAAGTGAAGGATGTGATTGTGCTCAACAAGCTGCAGAGGAGATTTACCAGGATGTTGTGTGGGCTGGAGGGTCTGAGCTGTGAGGAAAGATTGCATAAGCTGGGCTTGTTTTCCTTCGAACAGTGAAAGTTGAGAGGGAATTATATAGAGGTGCATAAGGTAATGAGGGGCATAGATAGGATGACTAGGCAGACTCACTTTGCATAAGGATAGGGGTCAATTACAAGGGGGTATAGAGTAAAAGTAAAAGGTAGAGGAGAGTTGATGGTGAGAGTCTGAAACTCACTGTCTGAAAGAATGGTGGAGGCAGAAACTCACATAGGATTTAAGTGTTTTTAAATATTGTTGCCACAGCCTCCAGGGTTATAGGCCTAAAGCTGTAAAATGGGATTAACGTTGTTAGATTTATATTGACTAGCGTGGACACAATGGGTCAAGTGGCTTCCTTCTGTGGTGTAAATGCTATTGAAAGATGTAACGATCCTGTGCGAGCTTCTCCCAGAACTTGAAATCTATCTCAGAACTCCCTGTGAAGGCTTCAGTTTCCTTGTAGCACTTCCTTTGATGCAATGACAGAGCAGCCACATTCAAGTACTCCAGACAAGATTGTTTTAATGAGTGAGTGTCAGGCCATCTGGCTACATGATCAACCCAACTTGTAATGATCTCAGTACCGTGTGGATGCTTGGCATACAAACTTGGTTGAGCATTTCACCGTAGGGTATTTTGCCCTGCCATTTGAACTTCAGAAGCTTCCAAAAGTAGATCAAGTGGTTGGACTTGTCAGCATGACGCTGGTGTAGAGTACACGTCTCAGATGTGTAGAGCAGAGTAGGTCAGACAGACTTATTCCTCTTCATTCCCAGACTGAAAATTAAAGTCTGCTGCAGGCTGCAGACTTGTTTCAGCAATCCTAATCTTTTTCTTGTAACAGATAGCTCGAGAGAATGTGTTGTCAAAGTGTTAACAGGTTCTGGTCATTGGACTGAAACTTTGGGCTCAATATAGAGGTTTCCAGAAGCAGACTGATACTTCATAGCAGTTTCTTCACGTTGATCGTAAAGCCAAAGTTGTCACTGCATTGGAAAACAAGTCATTAGAGAGAGACAATTGGTGGTGGTTTAACCTGAGGGCTACCATGCCCCAGGCAAGGGGAGAGGTTGAGAAGGAGAGTCATTCAGCATAACCTCAGCTGGTGCAGGATTTGAACCCACACTGTTGGCATCTCTTTGAATCACAAACCAGCTAACTGAGCTAACCAAACATGCTGTCATCCATGCTGATGAGTTTCTCAAGGCAGCTAAATTTCTCCATTAATTTCCAAAGGCAGTCGTGGTAGACTGTGTGTCAAAGGCCTTTCTCAGGTTCTGATCAAAGTCCATGTTCTGTTCTTAGAGTTTCTCCTGGAGCTGCCTAACTGCAAGCACTATGTCTGTGCTCTCTCACCCTTTTCTGAAACCTTACTGACTCTCTCTGGCTGCAAATCCTGATCAAGATATTGCACTTGGTAGTTCAGAAGGATTCTCTTGGAATCATAGAATCCCAATGTGCTGAAAGAGATCATTTGGCCCATCGAGTCCACACCAACCCTCTGAACAGCATCCCACCCAGACCCAGCCCCCTATCGTATAACCCCACATTTACCATAGCTAACCCACCAGGCCTGCACATCCCTGGACACTATTGACGATTTAGCATGGCCTATCCACCTAACCTGCACATGTTTGGATTGTGGGAGGAAACCAAAACACCCAGAGGAAACCCATGCAGACATGGGAAGAATGTGCACACTCCACACAGACAGTCGCCCAAGACCAGATCTGAACCCAGATTGCCGGTGCTGTGAAGCAGCGGGGCTAACCACTGAAACACGATGCTGCCAATTCATGTGAAGATTTTGCTGTCGGCCGAAAGAAACATGATTCCCTTTCTGATTGTTGCAAGATTTGGAAATTTCTTTCCACTCCTACAGGTCAACAGTAATTGTACTACCACAGTGCAAGGCCTTCACACATTAAATCTTAAGAAACATCGCGTTAAAAATTCCTCACGGCAAAGTGCATCAGGTCATTGATTTTACCATCTGTGGGATCATGATTCTTCGTAACTGAAGAACAATACCTGTTTCACAAACTGTCATTGAGTGAGGCAATAGGTTCAGTAAAATCTTGGTCCATAGTATGTTGCAGCGTACACTGCTATTTTGTCAAGTTTGCTATTTATAGTCAGAAATAGCCCTTTTCTTTGCTAAACATTCCACTATTTCTTTCCAGGTTGTCCGTGAGTACTTTCCCTCTGTTCTGTCCTTGGCTCAGACCCTCTTGAGATCCTCAGATGTGACTGTGGTGTCATTTGGCAGTCTAATGTATAAACATGCATTTATGATGTTTGATTCCTACTGTCAGCAGGTAAGAGAAAGCTTTCTGTCTGTTGCTTCCTACTGTTGTGGGGAGCTAACTTTTTCAGGGATGGAATTTCATTGGGCATTTTCTGATTTCACAATTGAGTGACGATCTATTATGTATGAGCCTAAATAATGAGTACGAGTAGGCAGTTTGTCTGTAAGAAGTATCGTACCCAAAACCTGACCTCAATCATATCTAGAGACATGATTTTGCCTATTGATGAAAATCAGTGGCCTGTATTTTTAAATGGCTCTCCTGTTGTGCTGACAACATTTCATGGGTTCATACTGAACTTCGACCCTTTGATCTCTTGCTTATATCACCATTGATTGCTTGCTAAAGTGCGCATAGATACATTCCCTTTCCTATTGTCTCTAGACTGGTTGATTCCCTGATCAGACTATGATAGCGTAAGGTACAGTGCAAAAGGAATCTAATGCTACAGTATCCGATGTGTAAGAATTGGGAGTTGAAAAACTAAAGCAAGTTGGAAGTACTTTTGCTTTTTAGCTGGCATTCTAATTATATGATGCTAGTTGGCGGATGTCTGGTCATTGGCTCAAAGTCTAATATTCTAGAATAGGAGCAGGAGCAGCCACTCAGTTCCTCAGGTTTATTCTATCATTGAATAAGATCATGACTGATCTGATTGAAACCACAAATCCACATTCCTGCCTACCCCTAAAACCTTTCACCCCCTTGCTTATCAAAAATCTATATACTGCTGTCTTAAAAGTATTCAAGGACTATGCTCCCATTACCTTAATAGGAAGAGAGTTCAAAAGACACAGCTCACTGTGAGAAAAAAAAATTTCGTATCTCGGTTTTAAATGGGTGACCTCTAGCTCTAGATTCTCCTGCAAGAGGAAACATTCTTTCCACATGCATCCTGTCAAGACCCCTAAGGATCTTGTTTATTCACATTATGTCTCTAACTCATCTACACTCCAGCATCTAGCTAGATCAACCTTTCCTTGTAAGATGACCCACCCATTCCAGGTTTTAATGTTCTTTAACAAATTAAGAAATCAATGACCTGATGCACTTTGCTGTGAGGAATTTTTATGCAATGTTTCTTAAGATTTAATATGTGAAGAATATTTTAAATTACTCAGTGTCTTACACATTTGATATTCAAGTTATAGCACTTTGTTAAATCCAGAAAGAGTTTTGATTATCTGTATCTGTACAGGAAGTTGTTGGTGCACTGGTGACACATGTTTGCAGTGGTTTCACTACAGAGGTGGATGTCTCACTTGACGTGCTTACAGACCTGGTTTCCCAGAATTCGTCTACAATGGCTGTTTATGCTATATTTGTGAAGGTAGGCTGAATGATGTCTGAGTCGAGAAGCAATTTTGTTTTGCATTTTATTTTCTAGTGAGGCTGTTTGTGTTTAAGAATGTGGTATAGCTAGAAAATATTCTGTTCTCAGTACCACAGTATCACCAGTATCACATGCTGTAGAAAGAAAGAATACCTATTAAGTTTCACACCAGATAGTTTACAGTTGAGTTTTATCTTTTCCAGAGGCATGTAGCGAAATCCATTTTTTTCTTTTCACAGTAACCCTTGGCTACGTGGTAGCACTTTGCCTTTGGTCCTAAAACTAGTCCCTTTCTACAACGAATTAACTAAATCAAAGGACTCCATGTTATCTGAAACAAAAGCAGTAATTGCTGGAGGAACTCAGCAAATCTGGTATCATCTATGGACAGAAAGTAGAGTTAATTTTTTGAATCCAGTGACCCTTGAACAAAACAAATATTGTTTTTATTTCAAATTTCCAGCATCCTCAGTTCTTTGTTTGGTTTTTGTGGCTGACTCCATGTTATCTGATTGTCATTGAGATGGTTGGAATTCATTACAATAACGACAACCATCCCTGTTCTAATGCCTCCACTGGAATGACTTGAATAAGTTAGGATTGTTGTGACCAGCATTTTTGACAGCTAGAATTTTATCACAACTTAATGCTCTGAGGAATAGGGCTGTCATTTACTTATTTTTATAAATTGTATTCTAATGCACAGAGATTATGAGGATAGCCCAGACTTCCCCAAGGACTCAATGTTTTAATAAATGCATAGTGACATTTTTATTCTATCTTTACAATTTTTGTAATACGCAGGGTATCTTGGATTACATGGACAACTTGTCTCCCCAACAGATAAGAAAGCTGTTTTTTGTCCTGAGCACATTGGCTTTTAGCAGATGGCAGGAGGGCAGCCACATTCAGGTAAGGGAAAGAACTTGAAAATCTCAAAAGACACTTTGGTTTCTCTTATCTTGCCTTCTCTAAGCTTGGATGAATGATCTGATTAAAATCTGCGTTAGTGTTTGCATTATAAGTATGTTTTTCTTTTCCCTGCATGAACCAGTACTGCAGTCATGTTTCATGTTATCTAGTGGGAATGCTAATAATTTGTTTTGTCCCTAATTCTGCAGGATGACATGCACATTGTTATTAGGAAACAGCTGTCTAGTACAATATCCAAATACAAGCGAATTGGGATCATTGGGGCAGTCATGATGGTGGGCTGCATGGCTTATGACAGGTATGATAATACACATGTCAAAGAATGCTTAATGACTGGGGCCAAATGCTTTAGGAAGGCTTATGTAAGAGTGAATGTGTCTCTTATCTCATTGTTACTAAATTTTGCAAGAATAAACCTCCAGATAAGTATTTCTTTGCAGCACATCTTCCTTAGACAAGACAACAGAGTGCCTCAAAAACGTTGTAATCCGTTGTCAGCCACGGATCAAATGGTCAGAATGTTCTGATTTCCATTTCCAGTCTGGAAACTTATGCACGATCTAATGGAGTACTGACAGTGCTGCTCAAAGATACCATTTTTCATGTGAAACCTTGCATCAAGGCTCCATCTGCTTTCTGTGAATCTAAAAGACCCAAAAGTGCTGTTTTGTACAGGAGAAGGGGAGTGTCCCCAACATTTATCCCTTAACCAATATCACAAAAGCAGGCAGTCTTGTCATTATCTCATTACTATATGTAGGACTTCATGTGCACAAATTTCTGTCGTGTGTCTTGCATTACAACTTCAAAAGTATTTATTAGGTGCAAAATACTTTGGAATGTAAGGTGCTATATAAATGGAAGTTAATTTATTTTTCAACTTGAAAGTGAAAAAGAGACTTTGCAAATAATATGGAAGTATGAGATATTTATTTTGGCTTATATTTGAGCACAGTTGATACCAATAATGCCATTCACAGAAAAACACCACCATTAGTTGCATAACTTGTCAGGATGTTTGTGACTTCCTTCAGATTCTCAGGACTGATATAAAGATATCACTGTCAATAATGAAAGTTTTATTGTTTACAAACTTTAATTTTGTAGCTTTGTTACAGTTCACTATACATGAATCATGTATAATTATGTTGTTCCAACTGTTGTAAAGTTCAAGATGGATTTTAATGTCATGAACCAACTACTTAACAACTGGATTCTGTGCCAAATTTCAGAACATTGTTTAATATTGTTATTCATGCAGTTAAATTTAAGTCCATGTGCAATATCTAAATTCTGGATGATGCTTCTTTTTCAGAAGTAAAATTGAACCCTCATCATCAGACTTGCCATCCATGAGTAAAGAATCCTTCAGGCAGGTATGCCTTATTTGTAACTTAGCTTTTACTTTCTCCGCTTCTTTGGAGTTGTAAAATGTTGCTTGACTGAAAACATTGGTAGCTTTACTATGCACAGTCGTCTCGTACTTGATATGTCTGACCAGGTTAAATGACGTGACTGTAGTGAGAAGTCAGATATTTTCAGTTCCACATTTTCTACTTATTTACAACATTGTTGTTTGTAATTGGCACTTGTTGATGTTGTTCCTTAAAAGATCCAAAATACTGTAGATTCAAAGGCATTTGTCATTTAATTTTAAGTTTTTAAAAGCTGCATAGAAAGAAGGGTCAAGGAGCTTTCGTGTGGCAAAACACAAGGTTTCTTGGTGAAAAGTATCAATGAAGTGCTTACCTTTTAACATTTTGCATTATAGTGTATTTTAGTAACTTTATTATGGCCCTTTCTAACACTGAGCTGTCAAAAATAGTGCAGCTGACTTGGAAAGAAGAAAGAGCTTGCATTTACAATGCATCCTAGGGCCACAGTCAGAAACACCTAGATCTACTTCCTTGTGAAATAGTCACTGTTATGGGCTACAGCTGGCTGTAAGAATATAAAATAATGAGACAAATGAGCAAGATGTGTAGACTTCTATGAATACTCTCATGAGATTTTTAGTGCCCATATAAATTATCGAAACCGACGGACAGAGCCTTGAATTAACATAATATCTGAAGGACTACACCTGTGACATCGTTCACATGATGTGCTCAAGTCCTACATTGAGACCCTGTCTGTCTGTTCCAATTTGAATTTAGTCTCAACCTTCTTAGAGGTGGAAATGCTAATCACTGAATCAAACTTTTTAACAAGTCATTAGCATAGACTTTATTTTCAAATAGCTCTGTAATTTTACAGTAAATCACTACAAAAGATATGAAATGTTTTTTGACTTTGTAAGCATTTCAGCTGTATTTCACAGCTCTGTTCAGCATGTTATCTCTAGAACCAGTTGATGGTTATGTTCTTGTTTTGTTGTTCCTTTGTATTTGTTCTGAATGTCTCTTGTCAAGATCAACAAGAAGATGGTCAATTTGATTTCTCATTGCACTAACTTCTGAAACAATTTGTATATTAAGGCCACTGCCCTGCTTGAATTGGTACGCACCTCCAGTGAGCAGTCTCCAGAAGCTGCTGCTCTCTACTATGATGAATTGGCTAACTTGGTGCAGAAAGGAAAGCTGGATCCACAAGTGCAGGTAGTATCATTAACGCCCAGTCATTCACAGCTCACCACTGGATACTTGAACAAGCCCTTAGATCTATCTTGTCCATCCAAGGGTTTTGTATCTGTATGGACTGAAGTTTTTGGTTTGGTTTCTGATGGGTTAATAAAGAATAACACGTTTTGCACAACCAAATTTAGAAAATTACTGTAGGAGTTACTGCAGTGCGCATCCGTGGAACACCACCTGTACAACTTGGATGGCTAAAAGTTGGTTATCTAATCAGAAGTAACAGTGCAACAGCAGCATGGGAGTGTCAGACACCAACGTCACAGCTCCATCACAACATGCATGGATACTGGTAGCTCTTCCTTCCATTTGTTTCCACCCTGTCACTGCAGTGCTATCCTTGAGCCTGCCAGAGACTGAACAGTTTGCAGTGTTCCAGATCACGTGCCAGCATGGTTTGCACATATATAAAGTGGGGCGTCCAGAATACTGTCCTGTATTGTCCTGTGTTGGTTCAATATAACTCCCTGCTCTTGTGCTGTATGCCCCTCTTAATAAAGTCTAGAAAACTGTATGTCTAATTAACAGTGCTGCCTATCTCCCTGCCACCACTAATGACCTATGCACATTTACACCCAGGTCTCTCTGCTCCTTCATACTCTTTAGAATAGTACATTTTGCTTTATATTTTCTTTCCCTGTTCTTTGATCCAAAGTGTATCACTTCACACTTCTGCACCTTGAACTTCATCTGCCACCCTTCCACCTGCTCCGCCAATTTGTCAGTCTTTTGAAATTCCATACTTTCCCCTTCTCAGTTTACAGTTTTCCCAGTTGTGTAGTTTGCAAACTTTGAAATTGTCCCCTGCACAGCAAGATCTTCATTTTAAAATCAATCTTTAACACATATTAGCCATAAACATAAAGATACGTTGACTTCAAGAAATGAGGTGGGAGGAAGAAGAAGTGAAAAGATAAAGTAATGTTGTAAAAGGAGAAAGAGAATTTGGGATTACTAGATTAACCATAAATACAATCTGTATTTTTCTTTATGTCTGTTGGTCTGTCTGTCTGTCTCTCTCTTTGTCACACACACATTGTTCTCTCTCCTCATCCCTTATAATGTTGGAGCAGTGGCTTTCAAAATGTGCAGTTGTTTTCTGTATGTGCTAAATCTGGTCAAGTGTGACTAGATGTTCATATTTGTAAGGAAATAGGTCCTCACAGATTCCATAATATTGTATTTGAAACTCTTATTTAAACAGACAGGCTGTCTTACTTCCTCCATCTTGCTGGCGTGTGCATTTAATTCCTATTCCGCATTCTAAGTCTACTTCCTTTGAATTTGCATTCAGGAGAAGTGCCAAGTAAAAGTACCTGAGGCCCAGAAAGAGTCTCCTTGGGCATTTGAGTGAATATCAAAGTACTTGGTTTTAAGACAGGGAATGGCAATTGTGCATCCTCATTTGAAGATTCTAAATGGTTTAAGAGACCCCAAGAAACAGAGAAAGCAGGAATTGTGTATAGTTACAGAAAATGGAAAGGTAGATGGGACTGCCACAAAATACAGCTGCACCACAAATCAAATTGGAAATGTAAGATGTGAGGAGGATGCAGAGATAGAAACAGATTGAGTGGTCAGATGGAGTAGAATGTGGGGAGGTTTGAAGTTGGGTATAAGAATAGAAAAGCAGAATATTTTTTGAAAGATGCCAAACTTGTAAACATTGATGTTTAGAGATACTTGAGTGGTTGTACAAGGAAAACAGAAAATTAGCATGCAAGTGTGATAAGAATTAAGAAGGCAAATGGCATGTTAGCCTTTATTATCAGGGGGTTAGAGTACAGGGGTAAAGAGGTTTTGCTTCAGCTGTGCAGGGTTTCATTGAGATCATATCTTGAATGCTTTGCAATTTTGGTCTTCATATTTGAGAAAGGACGTATTTGCATTGGTGGAGGTATGGCAAACGTTCACTAATTTGGTCCCTGGGATGAGAAGGTTGTGCTATGATGAGGGGCTAAGTAAATTGGACCACCTAAATTTAGAAGAGTGAGAGAGGTGATTCCACTAAAAAATGTAAGATTCTGAAGGGATTCGACAGGGTAGATGCTGAGTGATTGTTTCTGCTGGTCAGGGAATCTAAAACACATGGGCAGAGCCCCAGGATAACAGGCCAATCAATTATGACTGAGATGAACATAAATTCCTTCACTCAAAAGGGTTGTGAATCTTTGGAATTTTTTACCCCAGAAGATTTGGCTGGTCCACTGTTGAATACATTTAAGGTTGCACGGGCAGATTTTTCTTGTCTTCGGAATCAGGGGATACCGGGAGCAAATGTGAAAGTAGATTTGAAACCCAAGATCAGCCTTGATTGTATTGAGTGGCAGGGTAGTGTCAATGAACGGTGTGGTCTGCTACTGCTCCTATTTCATGTATTCTTGTGTTCTTGGCATAGAAGTGTGAAATTGCATTCTGCTATCTGCAAGTAAATATCATTGAATTGTGGCAATGTATGTATTTCTGCAAAATACACCTTTTATTAACAGATGTACAACAAGACTTTAGCAACATTGATGTAAGCACAATTCTGTTTTTGTTTGTCTTCAGGAATTGATTGGCAGAAGTGTACTTGATGATTTTCAAGAGGACTTTGTTGTAGACCTGCTGCCAGAAACAAATAGGTAGATTATGAACAGCATTTGTTATTCATTCTTAGTTCCTGTGTAGCTAAAGTTACATTTGAATTCAATATGACAGCTTTTATAAAATATTTTTGTGGAAACAGTTCGAAAAGCTGACCGTATATGAATTGCAATGATTTGCCAGCCTAGTTCAGAGGTCTCTTTAGTCTCTGAGTTTCAAGGTGCCAAGATTAATATCTTTTCCCAAAACAACAGTACATATTCTAGTACTGACATTTGGAGAAAGCAAGAACTGCAGATGCTGGAGTCAGAGTCTGACACAGTGTGGAGCTGGAGGAACACAGCAGGTCAGGTAGCAACAGAGGAGTAGGAAAGTCGACATTTTGGGTTGGGATCCTTCTTCAGATCTGGGGACAGGGAAGGGAGCTGGGAAGTAAATCGAGGGAGGAGGGGTGGGACTGGGGGAAGGTAGGTGGGACGGTATTAGGTACGGGTTGGTGGGGATTGGTCAGCGGGGAAGGGTGGAGTAGATAGGTAGGAGAGAATATGGACAGGTTGTGTCAGGTCAAGGAGGTGACAGGGAGGATGGGTGGGGCTGTGGAAAAGTAGGTAGGGTGATAGGTGGAAGCAGGTAGCAGGTAGTGGGGATTGGTTGGTGGGATTGGTTGGGCAGATAGGTGGGGAAGAAGATGGACTGGTTGTGTCAGGTCAAGGACACGGGGATGAGAGGGAGGTTTGGACTTGGGATGAGGCTGGGGGTGGGGAGATTTTAAAACTGGTGAATTCTATGTTTAGGCCACCAGGCTGTAGGCTCCTGCGATGGCGTACGAGGTGTTGCTCCTCCAGTTTGTGTGTGGTGTCATTGTGGCACTGGAGGAGGCCTTGGACAGACATGTCATCAAGGGAGCGGGAGGGAGAGTTAAAATGGTTAGCAACCAGAAGGTGTTGTCGATTATCGTGTACAGAGCGCAGATGCTCCATGAAACGGTCCCCGGGTCTGCGCTTGGTCTCACCGATGTAGAGGAGGCCGCATTGGGAGCAATGTATACAGTAGACCGGGTTGGAGGATGTACAAGTGACTCCCTGTTTATTATGGAAAGTTTGCTTTGGGACTTGGATGAAGGTGAGGTGTAGGGGCAGGTATAGCACCTCCTGTGTTTGCAGGGAAAGATGCCAGGTGTGGTGTGGTTGGTGGGGAGTGTGGAGCGGACGAGGGAGTCATGGAGCGAGCAGTCCCTATGAAAGGCATTGGGGTGGGGAGGGAAATATCTCTTTGGTCAGATTGGAGGCGGAGGATGATACACTGGATGCGGAGATTGGTGGGGTGGTATGTGAGGACCAGGGGAACTCTGTTTTTATTTTTGTTGGGGGGAGGGGGTTTCAGGGTAGAAGTGCGGGAAATGCAAGAGATGCGGTTGAGGGTATTTTTGATCACTGGAGGGGGGGGTATGTTGCGATCCTTGAAATAGGACGACATCTGGGATGTCTGGGAGTGGAATGGTCCATCTTGGGAGCAAATTTGGCAGAGTACTGACACTCCTGTGCAGTACTGAAGGATTGTAGTATTTTTGGAGATGCCATCTTTTAAATCATGTGTTAAACTAGGTTTCATATAGCCTTTCAATTAAAACATTTCATGGTGTCATTCGCAAGGAACAGTTCCTAGTTCTTTGGCCAACATTTATCCCACTCACCACGTGTAAATCAGATGAACTGATCATTTATCTCATTATTTGTGGGACCTTGTTAAGAAAGTTAGCTTTTCTAGTTACTACACCAACCATCATGCAGTCTCTTTTAAAAAGTGATATTGCCAATTGATGCTAGTATAGAGGTGCTTCTGGATTATGAGTTCTTTTCCATTAGAAGCTGGATTTAGATTGCTTAAACTAATTTCAAACAGGTCCCTACAGATAGATTTGCTAGTCCGGTTTGGGTTTGAATTCGGAAATGAAAGCAGAGAATCTAATACTTAGTCCCTCCAATTTGCAGCACATAGCTGTTAAAAGCACGTTCTGTTTCATTCAGTGAATCCGTGTTGCCACTGAAGTCAATGTATGATCTGGATGAAGAGGACACTGAAGGTGGGATTGTTATCAATCTTCTAACACTCCTATCCAATAGCATGATCGGCAATGGCTTTGAAAATGCAGCTGGCAAGCAAAAGAACAAAAAGTAAGGTTAATTAGTTTTTATTTATATTGCCTTCATTGTTTAATTAGAAAATTCAAAAAATTCAAGAATTTAATTAGAAAAGAATGGATAACATAGCTATTTGTTTTTATTTGTCATTTTTAGGTGTGTTTCTCCAGTATATCTTGCTTCCTTTTTCCGTCTACTGCGATTCTGTGAAGAGGTGCAGCACAATGGAAACTTGGAAGAGATTGATGCTTTATTAGGTATGCTGTGAGGTGCTTAATGTGTTGAGTTTGAGTAGAAGAAAGTGTAACAAAAACAGAAGTTGCTGGAAAAGCTCAGCAGAAAAAATCTAGAGTTAGCAACAGAACTGTCCTGAGGAAGGGTCATTGGACCCGAAATATTAACTCTGATTTTTCCTTCACAAATGCTGCCAGACCCGTTGAGCTTTTCCAGCAACTTACGTATTTGTTCTTGATATATAGCATCCACAGTTCTTCTGGTTTTTAGAAGAAAGTGTAACTTTTTTAAAGAAATCTAGTACTTGATTTAAGCTGACGTTGATGTTTGCCCCCAGTTTTGCTTTAACCTTTCTCAGGATGTGAGCATCGCTGGCAAGACCAGCATTTGTCACCCATCCCCAATTACCTTCAAGAAGATGTGGTGACCTGTTTTCTTGAACTACTGTAGTCCACTGGCTGGTCATTCCACTGTGCTATTTCTAAGATGATTTTGCAATTAAATGTGATTCAAGGGCATTTTTTAAAATTAGTCATTTACAAATGTATTTATGGATTTATTAATTTCACTCTAACTCTGATTATCATGAGGAATGGCGAGGTTGTCAAGGCTAACTTGCCTCCCTCCCTCACTTTCAAATTCTGGTTAGTTTTCTTATTCCGTGGTCACTATTTAGTATCTACCTGTAGGAAATCTGTAATTAGAAACAGACTGAGATTTGCAGTTATAGACCTAAGTCCAGTCCCTATGAAGTGCAGCAAATCAGAGCTCCAATACTTTGCGACACCATATAGGAGAGTACTTAGAATCATAGAGTTATACAGCATGTAAACAGACCTTTTGGCCCAACTCATCCATGTTGACCAGATATCCTAAACTGATCTAGTCCCATTTGCCAGCATTTGGCCCATATCCCATTCCTATGCTTCTTAAATGTTGTAATTGTATCTGCCTCCACCACTTTCTCTTACAGCTCGTTCTATACATGCACCACTCCCTGTGTAGAAAGATTGCCCCTCCGGCCACTTTTAAATCTTTCCCCTCTCACCTTAAAACTAAGCCATCTAGTTTTGGACTCCCCTACCTGGGAAAAAGAGCTTGGTTATTCACCTTATCCATGCCCCTCATAATTTTATAAATGTCCATAAGATCACCACTCAATCTCTGATGCTCCATGGAAAGAAGCCCCAAGTGTATTCAGCCCCTCTCTCTGTAGCTCAAACCCCACAATCCCAACAACATCCTCATAAATCTTTTCTGAACCCTTTCAAATTTACCAGCATCCTTCCTATACCAGGGAGACTAGAATTGAATGCAGTATTCTAGAAGTGGCCTAACCAGTGTCCTGTACAGCAGAAACATGACATCCCAACTCCTATACTCAATGCACTGACCAATGAAGGCAAGTGTGCCAAACACCTTCACCAATTTGTCTACTTGCGATTCCACTTTCAAAGAACTATGCACCTGTACCGCTAGGTCCCTGTTTGGCAACACTCCCCACGGCCGCAGCATTAACTGTATAAGTCCTGCCTTAGCAGAATGCAACACCTCACATTTATCTAAGTTAAACTGTCTGCCTCACCTCAGCCCATTGGCCCATCTGATCCAGGTCCCAATGTACTGTAAGATAGCCTTCTTCACAGTCCATTACACCATCAATTTTGGTGTCGTCTGCAAACTTACAAACCATGCTTCCTATATTACATCCAAATCATTTATATAAATGACAAAAAGCAGTGGACCCAGCAGCACACCGATCCTTGCAGCACACTGCTGGTTACAGGCCTCCAGTCTGAAAAATAACCTGCCACCACCACCTGCTACCTTCAAGCCAATTTTGTATCCAATTGGCCACCTCCCCCTGGATTCTATGTCATCTAACCTTGCTCACCAGTCTACCATGTGGAACCTTGCCTAATGCCTTGTTGAAGTCCATATGGATCACATGTACCACACTGCCTTCATCAATCTTCTTGGTCACTTCTTCAAAGAACTCAATTAACTTAGTGAGACACGATATCCCATGTGCAACGCCATGTTGACTCCCCTTAATCGGTCTTTGTCTTTCCAAATGCGTGTAAATCCTGTCCCTCAGAATCTCCTCTCAACAACTTACCCACCACTGACGTCAGGCTCACCGGCCTATAGTTCTCTGGCTTTTCCTTACCACCTTTCTTAAATAATGGTATCACATTAGCAACCTCCAGTCTTCCAGCTCCTCACCCATGGCTATTAATGATGCAAATATCTTAGCAAGGGGCCCAACAATCTCTTCCCTATCTTCCGATAAGGTTCTGGGATACATCAATTGTGGTGGCTTGCCAGTTATGGGTGATGACCTTTTCTCCAAGCCAAGAACAACTAGTCTTTAGAACAAGGAACAGTACAGCACAGTACAGGCCCTTCGGCCCACGATGTTGTGCCGACCTATTATCCTACTAAGATCAATCTACCCTGCATACCCTACATTTTACTATCCGCCATGTGCCTTTCCAAGAGTTGCTTAAAAGTCTTTAAAGTATCTGACCCCACTACCACTGCCAGCAGTGTATTTCACACACCTACCACTCTCTGTGTAAAGAACCTACCTCTGACATCTCCCCATACCTTCCTCAATCATCTTAAAATTATGCCCCCTCGTAATAGTCATTTCCGACCTGGGAAAAAGGTCTCTGACTATCCACTCTATCTATGCCTCTCATCATCTTGTAAACCTCTATCAAGTCACCTCTCGTCCTTCTTCACTCCAATGAAAAAAGCCCTAGCTCCCTCAACCTTTCCTCATAAGACCTGCCCTCCAGTCCAGGCAGCATCCTGGTAAATCTCCTCTGCACCGTCTCTAAAGCTGCCACATCTTTCTTCTAATGAGATGACCAGAACTGAACACAATATTCCAAGTATGGTCTAACCAGAGTTTTATAGAGCTGCAGCATAACCTCACGGCTCCTAAACTCAATTCCCCTGCCAATGAAAGCCTTCTTTAAAACCCTATCAACTTGGGTAGCAACTTTGAGGGATCTATGGACGTGGACCCCAAGATCCCTCTGTTCCTCCACACTGCCAAGAATCCTGCTGTTAACCCTGTCTTCTGCATTCAAATTCGACCTTCCAAAATGAATCACTTCACACGTTTCTGAATTGAATTCCATGTGCCACTTCTCTGCCCAGTCAACTAAACCATTGCTATCATCCTGCAGTCGATAACCATCCTCTTCGCTGTCAGTTAAACTGGCCCGTTTTCATGTTGTTGATAAGTTTCCCAATTGTACCTCGCACATTTATTGAATTCCATCTGCCAGTTCTTTGCATTTTGTCAATGTCCCGTTGCAACCTACAGCAGCCCTCCACGCTGTCCATATCTCCACCAACCTTGGTGTCATTGGCAAACTTACTAACCCACCCTTCCACTTCCTCATCCAAGTCATTTATAAAGATCACAAAGAGCAGAGGTCCCAGAATAGATCCCTGCAGAACACCACTGGTCACTGAGCTCCAGGCTGAATACTTTCCATCTATTACCATCCTCTGTATTCTATTGGACAGCCAGTTTTATATCCTGAGAACCAAATTTCCCTGAATCCCATGCCTCCTTACTTTCTGAATGAGCCTACCATGTGGAACCTTATCAAATGCCTTGCTAAAATCCATATACACCACATCCACTGCTCTACCTTCATCCAGCGTTTTGTCATATCCTCAAAGAATTCAATAAGACTTGTGAGGCATGACCTGCCCCTCACAAAGCCAT